GCCAGGTTCTTATGAGCCACTTTGGCACTGTGCTGTCAAAGCCAACCCCAATGTTATTCACACATTGTTATGTCTGCACGCCCACCTAGATAAGAGAGGTTGGACAAAAAAAACTATGAGTACTTTCTTTCAAAGTTAAAGACATTTTTATTTTTGTTTTAAATTTTTTAAACATTTAAATTTTTATTTTGTTTTAAATGTTGTCACAGATTTTTATAAATAATGACCAGCCTACCTAATCTGCAAAAAAATTTTTAAAGCAGCCAAATAGCTGTAATCCCAGTCCTGAGATAAAAATTAATAATAATACTTTTTTATTCAATCATCTGACACACTGGAAAGGTGGCATATTCCTATTTAGAAAATATGAATTCAAAAAATCTTAAAGGTATAAATATTTAATGTACTTTTATCACATTACACTATGTATATATTTTATTGAGACAACAGAGATCATAATATATGTCCCATTTTATATCTAATTTCCACTCAATGTTCCAGTGTAAACGTTCTCCACATCACAAATTCTTCTTCATACTGCTTCAGTGTCCCCCTGGCTGAAGCACACACCATAATTTGAACAATTAAATAAGTGCACTTCACATTGATAATTAGATTCAATGACTGCCCAGTTGGTTTCACCTTATAGAAAAGAAAGCATTGCCTGCTCCTGGGGCATCCTCACAATTATTGTTAATTTTAAGGCTATTGTTGCAACCATTGCATCAATCCAGCTTATCAAGAATCTTCCTCTTTTTTACTGATCTGTACATTATCAAGCCATGGCCGATCCTAATAACACGCCCTGAGCGTTGTTTCTTTGTTTCTAAGGAGCACTCTGGTTGTACCTCATTCAGGAAAATTAATTTCTGGCAGTCCATGGTTGTTTCAATATTCATCAACACCATAAATCAAATGCATCGTTGTTCCGCAATCTTCTTTATTCATTGTCTGGCTTTCACAGCATTAGAAGAGATGGGAAATCACATGAGTAGGGACAGGTACGCCTTCATTCTCAAAGTTGTAGCTTTGCTCTTTAATACAAAGGGGTCTTTTACAGCAGATTTGCCCAGTGAGGGACATCATTCAATTTCCTGACCACTGATTCCATTCATGCTGATGCTGGATCCAAGGAAAATGAAGTCCTTGACAACTTCAATGTGGTTTCTCCATTTATCATGTGATTGTCTGCTGATCCCGTTGTGAGGGTTTTTAGTTTTGTTACATTGAGTTACAGTCCATACAGAAGGATGCAGTCTGATTTTCTTCAGAGAGAACTTCAAGTCCTTCGTATATAAAGCCCTTTGTCAAGTGCTTTTTCCAGAATACTAGCCATCAACACACAAACACAAGCACTGCATAACATAACTGTCATAAATCCTTTGACTTTGACGGATACAAGTGCAGTGAACCCTCGCCACTTTGCGCTTCGACTTCCACGGCTTCACTCTATTGCGGTTTTTGCGTAACAGCGCATGCTCTGTCATTACTGCCACTGATTGGCTCATACTGTGCACGCTTCTGTCTGCATTGCTACGTATTGGAGCTATGTATCAGATGCATTTTTGCTTTTGTACAGTGTACTGTAATTGTTTGCGATTTTTAAGAAATTTTATCTAAGCCCTATGATGGCTCCTAAACGAGCTTCTTCTTAGCCTTCTGACAATAAAAATAATCGCCAGAGGAAGATGCTCACCATCCAGGAAAAGGTAAAACTTTTGGATATGATCAAAGATGGCAAGAAAATCGTGGAGGTTGCACGCCATTTCGACTTGAATGAGTCTTCCGTCCGCTCCATCCGTTGTACTTCATAATATAATAAATAATAAATGATAATTGTAACCTCCAAAATGTTTTACTGCATTTTCCCTTTTTTGTTTAATAAATTGGGTAATACGAGTGTAATGGTGACTAAAGGGTGTTTTTTCATGTCCTCTATGCTCTAACTACGAAAATATTTGATTTACAAATAAGGAATCCTACTTCGCGGAATTTCATTTATCACGGTAGGGTCTAGAACCGATTAACCGCGATAAACGAGGGTTCACTGTATTTCCTTATTTTTAACTTGCATTTCCCTGATGACTAATGCAATGGAGAATGTTAAACCTGCTTATTTTTTTTCTGAGAATTACCTTTTCAGTATTCTGTCATCCCTTCACTACTGTGAGTAGAGTTGTATTTGCAAGTACTATTTCTAGAGTAGTGGC